AATTACTTTTAAAAAAATTATTTAAAATTTATTCACGTTTAACATAAGAAAGCAAATTGTGGAATAGAATACACAGCACAGAAGCATGACATCAGCTGCTAGAAGACTAGTTCAGTGTCAGAGTTAAAACTAAATTTAAAACTAAAACTTACTAAAACTTTAAGACTAAAACTTACCAAATTCAATGAAGGCTCTTAGAACAGCAGGTTCTGATGGATGTAGTGTAAGTTCATTCAAAGTATTACTGAGATGAAAGAACCTATTTTTCTAACCTATACCTTTCTCAAAAATTTTAAGAAATACGAATAGGACACAGCTCAAAAGCTCAATTTCAAGTAAAAACTTCTGGCTTCTAATATCAACACAAAGGAGGCAAGGACTGAAGAAAAACTGCGATTAATTATATTTCTGAGTATTAGATGTAAACCTCTGGATACGACTTTCACGGGCAATATGGGGAAGAATATTATGCATAATTTATTATGCTGTGTGGTTTATATACACAAACAGCAGATAGCACAATAAGAAGAGCACAGCTGGTTACCCAGGGACTATACCTTTGCTCTGCAGTTAAAAACAACCCATCTATATGTAAGTTCTATTTTTCAAGACTTTAAGACTTTTTCAAATCTCAAATACAGTATATTCATCTCAAAGTATTTAATTATTGAAAGACAACAGTTACATTAGCATAAAAACAAATGTTCAGAGTACCCCTGGATACTAAGTTAAACATTAAACACCATTTTAAACAATTGTGTTTATGAAAAACTCAAAATGATTTGCTTTGTTTGCATTTATTTATTTATGTTTGGTACTGGAGATCAAACTCAGGATTTTGCGCTTGCAAGGCAGGTGCAGGGTCACTGAGCTAAATCTTCGGCATGTTTTTTAGTAGTAGGCTCTATTTTTAAAATTAGTTCATAGCAAATCTGAGCAGAAAGCAAGCACTCTCACACATTTTCTCTGTGTTTAACGTTTTTGGCTCATAAACTGTCCAGGGAACAGGACAAGTAAGAGTTAGTTGCAGGACCCCAGCTAAGTAGGAACTACATCTTAAATCACTCTATGGTCTGCACTACCAGGAACCAGAAAATGGCAGGTGAGAGAAGAGTGACGAATTTCTGTTACCTACCTTATGAGACCTGGAAAGAAACCTGTACACCAGAGTAGAGGACATTCATCCTCATAAGGTCCTAACACTGACCATCATGTTCCTGTTGTTGTTTTTAATGTAAGTAAATACAGATGAAGTGAGGCTCACAGGATGCATCATGCATCTAAAAACTAAGTTGGGCATGTAGCTCCACCATGATAAAACTGTTCACTTGGCAGCAGGAGGCCCTAGGTTCAATCACCAGCACCACAAAGACAAAGGGATTCAATAACATGAAATAAGTTAACCCTCTACTAATCAGGTAAATGAAGATCAAAATAAGAAGAAACCACTTCACAGTCATCACATGGACTAAGGTTTCCTAACACCAGGCAAAAAGAAATGGAAAAACAGGCTATAAGCTATGAGATGCAAAGTAAACAAACCAGCAGAGTAGGAAATGCATCCAACCTTCAATCCAAGGCTTCACTTCTACACAAACACCAAGAAGAAACAGGCACTGGGCCTAGAGAAGTAATATACAGGGAGATGTGGAAATCACCTGTTGCAAAAAGTTTTAGAAGACCAGATGTCCATAAATAGGGGAACAGACAAACTTATAGTCATAAAATGGAATACTATTCAATAGTTTTTAAAAACCAGACCCACAACTAAAACCAAAAACACAGTTTTAATTTTTAAAAATCTACAAAAGGTGACACAAAACAGATTTACATATATATCGGTGGGGGGACCAGGGAATCAAACTCAAGACCTTGCGCTTGCAAGGCAGGCACAGTGCCACTGAGCTAAATACTCCAGCCCTATATAAATTTTAAAAACACATCAGTGCATTGTGTTATTACTAAAGACACATGTGTAGCTAACAGCACGTACTACTGACAAGAATGGCATGGATCAATTTTAGCCAACTGGAAATCACCCGAACCCCACACTCCTGGAAAGCAATGATGGGAAAGCAGCCTACCCTCACTGCCGGCTGTGTTCTGGGAAATAACTGCAAAGGCCAAGTCTGCCTACACTCGAAAATGAGAGCCACATCCATCCTTCTCAAGGCTCCCTGGTTTACATGACCCAGGTCTCCTTTCTTTTTGTTAGAGAAATTTCTTCTTAATGAATGCTTTCCTAATCTGCAGCAGCCTGAATAAAATCATCGCCTTAATAGGCCAGTACATGATGTCTTTGGCCCCAGACTGGCTGCCTCTGGGGAGAGAAGGGAATGGTTAGAGGAAACTAGTATTTAGCTGCAACAGCAACATTAAAAATCTGCAATATGGCAAAAAAATTAACCTTTTTTTAATACAAAGGAATCTTTATTCTGTGTACTTTACTCCTTAAAATGTTCAGAGTTTTAAAAATCATTTTAAAGCTTGGTGTGGAGTCAGAAAAAGCAACTGGTCACAAGTTGAGAATCCTTCTATCTGTTTTCTCTTATATTAAATAGGCACAGGAACAAGAGCCTAGCCCACTTCACTGGGATGTCATAAGTTAAAGAGTTTTTTCTTGTGTTAAAACCCATTTGTAATTCAGCCTAAGCCAATTATACTGCAAATGCAACACCTTCCTTATGAGAGGAGCTAGGCAGCTCTACCTGTGAGTCACAATCCATAGCCAAGAAAACCACTGAGCAAACAACCTTAGGAACTTGACGGTGGGCTGGCAAACAGCTCTGCACAAATAAAGGGAACCGGCACACCCAGTACACACAGAGTTTTATGTGGAATGCATAAAGGAGGTGGGAGGGCACTATAAAATGAGGCATTGAAAATAAGAACTCTCATCTTAAAGTGCCCAGGATGCGTTTTTAAAAGTTGGTTTCAATGTTTTATTCCAAATGCTTCTAGAGGAGCTGGTGAATACCAGGAAGTAATTCTCCTAATTTAGAACACACCCTTGACCAAGCATAGTGGGACACCTCAGTAATCCCAGCATTCCAGCACTTGGGAGGCTGGAGAGTCACTTCAAGTTCACACCAGATGGGGCTACAGCGGTGAGTTCAAAGTCAGCCTCAATTACACAGTGATACCCTGTCTCAAAAAACATGCAAGCAACAACAACAAAAAAAAAGTGGGGGGGAACCCAACCAAAAAACAAAAAAACAAAAAAATACCCATACCCACCAGCAGTTAAAATTCAACCTAGGGTTAAAAGAAGAAACTTGGCACCAAGCTTCTAACCAACAAATCTAAACAGTTACAAATACAGAGAGAAAGTCCTAGAATCTAGGATAATAAAGGAACTCTCCCTTTTCACAATATTTTCTAATAGCTGGAATGAATAGCTCTGCTTGTAAGACCAAATGTAAGACTAACCTTTAAAAATGACCAGTCTGGGCCAGGGGATTTAGTTCAGTGGTGCTGATGCCTGCACCGCCATGGAAAGGCTCAATCCTTGGTACCAAAAACAAACAAACAAACAAACAAACAAAAACCAAAAAAAACTATTCTGAACTCTTTTTTCTCTACAAGCATCCAAACAAACGTAGCTTGCAAGGGCTTTCTGAACTACTACTATAAGGTAAACAAGTTTGAAATGTATTTAGAATCCACCATCTTTAGTTTTTACTTCTCCCTCTCTCCAAGAAGCAGGAAGGAAGGTTCTCTCTTCATTTTATTTGAATGTATAGAAGTACAGAAGATAAATTCTGTAACTAAAGTCAGAATGTTTGGTCCTATTTTCAAACAAAAGTCTGTACTATATTAGAAACTAAAAAGAACAACAACAAACAAGACCCTGCAGCGAACTCCAGTTCACTTCAAAAGTACTTGCAGTTCTTAGTTTACCAGAACTCAAAGCCCTTATATTAAAAGTGGCTTAGAATAAAGTAGTACATACATTTAAAATCTTAAAGCGCTTAAAAAGAAGTAAGATGCTGATCCTCTCTGTGGCTTGCTGCAAAGCAGCAGACTATCAACTCCCTATTACACATGCTCAGATACCAAAAAACTACTGGCTAATCTTTTTCTTCCACAAATGAAATCTTCTCGAAAGTTGCACTACCCTAAGAAAACCAACAGTTACTCTACAAGCACACTCTGTATACAGATAAACCAGTACCAACAGCTTCCAGGTGGACAGATACAGTGAACAGTGCAGTATTTCTACCAAAGTCTGGTAGGGCTTTGCCTGCAAATCATTGACCAAAAATGGTAACAGTGTGCAACTTCAGAAAGTGACAAAATGTTCTACCTTATGGCCTGGCTGAGAAAACCCTTTTACAGCAGAGTGACAGTGTCGAGGGAGAAAACATACGTAAAATCTCATTATCTACAATTCAGTGAACACATTTACTTTTAAATAACTAGAATATTTACAAGGGTTTTTAAAACGCTTTTAAATTTGTCTCTCGCACTTTACACTCCAACATTCTGGTCCAGCCAAACTGTTCACAGATAAAAGAAAATTTTCAACGACACACGGAAGGATCAGACAAGGAAGGGTTAAAACAGGCACTGCCAAGGCTGACAAGTAAGAGAGTGCTGCTGGAAGCTGATTGCCAGATACGACAAACAAAGCGGTGGCGAGGCCACCCGGTTCCTAACCGGGCCAGGGTCCGCCCTCTGGGGTTGTTCAATAAAGGCCTTATTTTCCTTATTGATGGAAAGACTTCAAGACGGAAAGGCGAAGGGGTCACCAAGCGATGGCTTTGCGGAAACCCGCGCCGAAGGGGACCGTCGCTGGATTCCCAGCGCCGCCCCACACCTGCTGTGCAGACCCGGATCAGCTTCCCGGGCGGGTGGGACGCTCGACCTCGGCCAGTCGCGCTGAGGGCCGGCGCGGGTCAGAGTCGCGGCTCCCGCCCCCATAACCCGACCCAGCGGCGCCAGGAAGCCCCTCCTCTCCCAGCCGCCTCAGTTCGCTCCCAGGGCTCCCTCTCACTTACCATCTTCGCCGCAGCGGTCGCAGGGATTCAGGGAGACAAGAGTGGAACAACCTCCTCACAGCAGCCGGACAGGGAAAGCGAGCGCAGAGCCGACGCGGCACCGCGAGCCTACTAAGGGGCGGTCGCGCGCCTCGATCAAAATGCGCCTGCGCACGTCACGCACAGCTCGCCGTTGCTACACGACTGGCCGGCTCGGCAACGCCCCGCCCCAGGGGTAGCCGGG